CAATTTACTTTTTAACCTCGCTACAAAAAACCTCGTTCATTTTGCTTGTCTTACAATACCGGAGGATCAACACAGGATTTTTTTTATTTTATTTTATTTTATTATTTTTTTTCATTTTTTAATATTCTTATATATCGAAGACGAGGATCAATCGGTACTTCTCTATCAAATAGATTCTCCCGACAGATCTTTACGGCGTAAATACTCGACTCACCATACCGGATTTATCTATCTGTCTGTCTGTCTGTCTATCTTTCCCTCCTTTTTCTTTTCGCGTCTCGGCGACTCGCGTCCCCATTTTTGAACGTTTGAGACGTTCGATTTTTTTTTCTTTTTTTTTTTGCGTCTAACGTTTTTTTTTTTTTTTTCGCTTTAGTATTTTCCGCGGAAATACTTTCTTGGATCACCATTTAATTTATCACAATAAATTTTTGTCTTCTTAAATCAATCTGAACGCGGGTACCACGGCTGTGCCCCCGTGCGCATATATAATTCCGCCTCGCTCTACGCCTTAATTTTAACCTCTATTTTTTTTAATTTTTTTTTTTTTTATCTTTTCATTATCTAAAGAATCTTTTTAAAAAAATCTCCTACTGGAGAGAGAAAACGGTAGGTAGTTTTGTAACAATGTAATCGACTATCTTACCCCTAAATATAATTCTACGAAGTTGATTATACTGTGACTTTAAGCACAGCCCGTGGATGAAGTGCCCCCCCCCCGTTTAATTGGAGAAAGGGCTCTTGATTTTATTATTTTTTTTTTTACTTTTACTTTTTCTCTTCAAACTCTCTCTCCCTCTCTCCCTCTCTCTGTCTCTCTAGTCTCTCGCTTTACTTTTTTTTTATTTTTTTTTTGTTTGTTTGTTTTGTTTTTTGTTTCTCTAGCAGCCTTCTTTGTTCACACGCTCACTCGTCCATGCTCTCTTTTTCTCTCTTCCTAGATCTCAGATATACGAGGATTTCTCCGAAAATAAAGGTGCTTCTTATCTCATCGACCTGAATTGTATTGCCTCTCTCGTTCTTTTCTTTTTTTTGTTTTTTTTTGTTTTTTTTTTGTTTTTTTTTTTTTTGGTTTTTTTGTGAAAGCAACAAAGAAAATCGTATCGTGCAAGGAAGAGATCATTGCTGCCACCTAATTCAATATTATGCAGTATCAATATCTCCTGTTCACGTACAGAACAGACATTGCACCGTATCATTCACGGCATCAATCAAACATTCGCATCATGCTCGATCGTAAGAAAGACAAAGAAAGAAAACGAGAAAGAAACAAGTACGAAGAAACGACGTTCGAGTCGCTTCGAGAGAAAGGAAAAGAAAAAAAGAAAAAAGATAAGACTCGATTTCGCATAAAGCTTGTAATGTAGTAAGGAATAAATAAAGAAAAGCGTTCGAGGTACGACAGTAACAAATAAAAACTCACGCGTCAGGGTCGCTATCGATCGCTTTCTATTCTTTTCTCTCAACGATAAATACTTAAAAAGTGAAGAAGCAAGCAAAGTTCTCGCGCCGGTTGAAATACTTGATATATATATATATATATATATATATATATATATATA